TTATGTTTTTCAGTCCAAACCCATTCCCGAATCTGTGTAACCGCCCCTTACTTGCAGTGAACAGTTTGTTGTCACTTATCTCAGAGGGCCCCTTGCTGATGTGTTCTTGTACGCTCAGGGCTTCCTGGCGCAACATGCTGCCATTAGTCAGAACACACTTTCTGTTCATGTCTTTACCCACAAATTGTATGTTTTTCCCGTCCTAACCAAGCACTTGTCACACACTGTGACAGTAACTTCCGCAATCTGAGGTGTGACAGCAAAACTAGCACACATTTCTTTTTCCTTCTCTCAATTCCACAGGTAGAAGATTTGTGTTTACGGTAGATCTTAACAACTTCAGCACAAACTTTTTTCTTTCCTTTTTAAATCGAGACCTTTTACCTTTTACTTTAAGGAAGCACTTTACAGCTCTTCTTTGGCATTTCCAAAGGCCGGCATCACTACTCTTGCACTTTTAGGCCATCATTAAGTAAAATAAGGGCCATTTGCGCACAAGCACTTTGATGTGGCAACAGTCGATATGGTGTCCCTGTCTCCCCTCCTGGCCTTACCTCCTTCATGTTTTGCATGTACCCCTACTCTGCTGCTACTGAACAAAGGGAGATTCACATCCCAGGCAAGATGGAGTGGGGTGGCATGAGATTTCATCACACTATTCAGCACAATCTGCAACGGAAAACTTATGAATTGTTTATTTCCAAAATTTTCATTTAATAGTTTTGGACAGCAGTTGACCACGGGTAACTGAAACCACAGAAAGTGAGACTGCTAATAGCGAGGACTACTGTACCCATCAGCTGTCCATCAGGAGGTGGGAGACAGTGGACAGGGTGGTCCACGCCAACCCACTGCCATGGCCCCGGGCAGGGGCAGTCACTTGTTTGGCAACACATGTGAGACTGCTCTGGAATTCCAGAAATAACTCGGGGCTCACTTAGAGTGGCATGAGGAGGTTCCACACGAACTGGTCAAAGCAAAAACTAACTAGGAGAATTTGGATTACGAATGCTAATGGGTTCCCACTGGGATATGGGTGAGACATGGGGAAAGTTGAATTTCACTAGGAAAGTGCAAAGTATGGATTCCTCCAGAGACCAACTTGCAAGATAATACTTGACACCTCCTTGGAGACCTTTGTTTTAGTAGAAACTTTTTCTCTTGAATCCTCCCATGTATAGTGAGTTTCATGAACCCTAACCGCCCTCCTGCTCAGCTCTAGAGCAGAGGTGCTTCCTCATCCCTTTCCTCGGCACACCCCCCTCTCCCATCCATCAAGGCCCCTGAGCAAACTCCGCCACTGAACACCTATCTAAGCAAGAGGAAGGGGGAGACCAAGGCAGGTGGTCAGGGCCCTGTGCCAGGTGAGCTCAAAGAAAGACCAAGACAATAGAAAAACACTAAGCACAACAGCTATTTTATTCTTTACCTTATAATTTTCTTTATTTTGCCAAATTAGCTATAGAAAAAAGGCAAATCTTTTTCAAAATCAAATGTAAAAAGTACAAGTAAACAGCTCTTCACAATCTACATAAGCTTTATGTGTTCTCCCTACAGTCACTCCCGAGGTGTTTGACTTTATTATGTAACTAGAAGCCCGGTACATGAAATTCGTGCATTTGTGTGTGTGTGGGGGGGGGGGGGGCCTCAGCCCAACCTGTACCCTCTCCAATCCGGGACCCCTCAGGGGACATCCCTCTCACAATCTGGGATAGCTGACTCCTAACCACTCTCCCCTGCTGGCCTGATTGCCCCTAACCACTCTCCCCTGCTGGCCTGATCACCACTAACTGCTCTCCTTTGCCGGCCTGATCGCCCCTAACTGCTCTCTCCTGTTGGCCTGATCACCCCTAACCATCTCTGCCTTGGCCCCCACCATCATGGCTTTGTCCGGAAGGACATCTGGAAGGATGTCCAGAAGACATCTGGTCTAATTATCATATTACCCTTTTATTAGTATAGATAAACAGAACTCATAGAAGGTCACCTGCCTGGCTGTGACCAAGGTAGTTCCACTATACAGGTAGAATTTGGCCAACCTGGACCGCATGGTACCCCACTTAGGGTCAAGGACCCTGTCGTGAAAGGAGACAAACATTAACATTTTTTCCCACTCACCTCCACTAACTTTTGGCTCATCCAGAGAAAGTGACTGACAGCTCCAAAGGCTGCTGGACAACTTTGACAGAGGGGTCCACAAAGAGGCCTCCTCCACCTGTTACTCTTTTCTTTATCACTTCACATCCATAGGGGTCCCTAAGCCCCAAGAGAAGGGTCAAGTGCAAATCTGGTAAACCAAGAAGCCCTAGCAGTTGTCAACTTAATTAGCCTTCAGGAAAAATATATGGATATATGAGCACAGTGGAGTTGCTATAGAGACAGGCCCAGGAGGCACATTTAGAACAGGGCCTCATCACATCACCTGATAAAAATAAGATCCAGGCTTTTTAATAGCATGAATTACTTAAGTTTTATATTTAACAGGGGACGATACCAAGGCTATTACTGGTTTTCAGAATATTTTAGGAATCTGGGCTGCCTGTTTGTGCATATGTTAACAGCCATCACAACATATGCTCTGGTGGCTGGCAGCTAAGAGCTAGAAGCTCATGTGTCTCTCTCACCCCTGAGATGAGAGAGGGGCCTTCTCACTTTGGGTTTGTCCTCCTTTAATCGGGTAGGAGATTTTCAATATGTTTCAGAGGAAAGACTGGGGAAGAAGCTCTACTGTGCTTTGCACCATGACCTTTGCATATATTATTGCTAATGCCTATAACAACCCTATGAAGTAATGATCTCATTTTGCAGATGAAAACATTGAGGCTCAACATTTTCGCAAGGTCACACAGCTAATAAGTAGTAGAGTTAGAATTCAAACCCAGGTGTCCCCCATTCCAAAGCCCATTGCTCTGTACAAGGAAGAATCTTGGATGAGGGGAATCTAAAGAGATTTAACATTTTTATTAATAGATAGAATGGACTTTATTATAGTTTGATCTCTCCTCTAAGGAGGTCCCAAAGAAGAGGTCTCCAAGAAGAATTCCAGAGATTCCGACCTCTGCTGATGAGAACCTCTCCAGTTATCCAGGGCAAGTGTTCATTTCAGGCTAACTTCTTCTGGCCACCCACACACTTCTGGGTGCCTTTTCCCCAGCTCAGTCCCGCAGGCATAGTTAACACAAGATCCCAAAGTAAACACCATTGTCAGAGTGTCTTCACTGCTCTTGCATACATGAAAGCTTAAAGACATGAAACCAAGCTGGGAATCCAAAGGGAAGGGCGTTTGGTTGTGGGCTTTGTTTGTTTTTTAGTTTTGTATTTGCATTATTCGCGACTCTCCTACTCTTCATAGAGACCCTTGCTTGCTTTTAGCTTTCATTTATTTATTTACTATTTTCCCAACAAAGGCCTACATGGTAGACTCATTCTGTGCCCAAGAGGTACCAGTCTTTCCTTGTGGTGGGAAATGGTGCTGGTGATGATACAGCTGGGCATAAGGCAATGTATGTGACAGGGAGGGGAAAGATGGTTGGAAGCTGGGGGCCCACTCAGTTTATCAGCTGAAAGTAATGACAGAAGTTGTCTGGGCTCCAAAGGATCTGAGAAAACATGTCAAGGGAAAAACTGAAATGTGTGGTTTGACAGAAATTCTAACCAAAGCATCGCTCTAAGTGAACTAGGCAGAGAAGCAGAAGGCAGGTAGATGCCACAGATGAGGCTGAGGTCCAAGCAGAAGCAGAAGACTTGGAGTCTTGGAAGAGTCCCTGCGCAGTGGACCCGCCCTAGGAGCTTTTCCCGTGCTGCCTGCAGCCTCCAGCCTGTGGACATGGGTGAATCGTGTTGGCTATTGAAATAATCCTGTGTTTGACTCGTGGTATGGAATGAGTAGTAGTCCCCGAGGGCCAGCCTGGAAATCCCATTTCCACTCCAGGCAACCACAGAGGTTAAAGGCATGGGCTTTCTTCTCAGGCCAACTTTATGTCCTGGCTTTGCCACTCACTAGCTATGGTAACTCAGGCAAGTCATTTAAGCTCTCTATGCTTGAGCTTTCCTGTCTGTAAATAGGAATAATACCAATCAGATGCCAAGGATGAGCCCAGGTAGGAAAATGGCCAGTGGGCTATGTCAAGGGCCAGAGACAACATCCACTCCATTGGCTGGGTGAATGCCATGGCCAGGACAGTGAGCAGAAGCCAGACCCCAACCTCCCTCCCTCCATGACCCTAATGCTCCTTGGATAACCCCCCACCCCTCGCCACCCAATCTCTGTCCTCTCCTGCTGAAAGGGTCCCCTGAGCCACTACTGCTGTCAACCATGCGCTCTTTCCATGTAAAGGTCTCTAGGGTAATTCATAGGCCCTGGTCGCCACGTGCCACCAAGCCTTCCCCTATCCCCGTCTTTACCTTTGCCCTCTAAATAAGGAAGCCAGAGCTGCCAAGCCAAGAACTTCTGCCCAGTTTGGATCCTGGGTAGCCTCTCGCCTGTCTCTTTCCCTGGGCCCCCAGCCAATTCCTCCCTCCCTCAGAGATGCTCCCTGCTCACTTCATTCCTGCCTCATAGTTGGAATGACAGTGGCTCCCAGCATCCCTGAGGCATGGGGAGGGTGCTGGGGGTCTGGGGAGCAGCCAGCTCAGGAGCAGGTTAATGTTACAGCCCTGGATAAGTGAGCTGGGCCAGCTGACGTCAGGGTGATGATGGGTGGAGGGGAGCGCCAGGCTGCTGAACTATAAAGACAGGTCAAATCAAATGTAATCAACTCGGGACAGAGCTAGCGGGCGAACTAGACAGCGTCCCCAAGCCATGGTCCCTACCAGCCGCGGCTCAGCCTGGGTCCCTCTGCTCCCGACCCGAGTGCCCGAAGCAGGCTTTGGTTTTATGTCAGCAGCCTTCATCTGCCTTCCAAAAATAAGCCCCTGCCGCCATGCCGAAGGGAGAAAAACAAGAAGGGCGGTATTTTTAGGGCCATTAATTCTGACCACGTGCCTGAGAGGCAAGGTGGATGGCCCTGGGACAGAGGCTGTTCATCGCTATGTCCCGGGGAGCAGGACGTCTTCAGGGCACGCTGCAGGCTCTCCTCTTCCTAGGCGTCCTAGTGGGCATGGTGGTGCCCTCCCCTGCGGGCACCCGAGCCAACAGCACGCTGCTGGACTCCAGGGGCTGGGGCACCCTGCTGTCCAGGTCCCGAGCTGGGCTAGCTGGAGAGATTGCCGGGGTGAACTGGGAAAGTGGCTATTTGGTGGGGATCAAGCGACAGCGGAGGCTCTACTGCAACGTGGGCATCGGCTTTCACCTCCAGGTGCCCCCCGACGGCCGGATCAGCGGGACCCACGAGGAGAACCCCTACAGTGAGTGCCAGTTGCAGCCAGTTGGGAAGCTGGGGGCTTGAGCTCAAGCAGGGCTAACGGATGAAGGGGACTTGCTCTGATGCATGGGGTCCTGTTAGGAAGGGGAGCGAAATGCTATTCTCCACTTGGATGCCCTTAACAGAGCCACCCCTTCCAGACTCACTTTGACTCTGCCCAGGTGCAGGCTCAGTATGCGGCGGTCCCAGCATCCCCGAGTGCTTTGCCATGATCTCATGGAGCCCCTGTGGCACTCATATTTCAGCATTACGGGGCCATCTGTGGCCATCTAAGACCACTGGGAACCATCAGCCTGGGAAACCAAAGGCAAGGATGGGGAGAACGAGTGAGGCTACTTGGACCAAATTAGACACAAGCTTGTTTTTATTTAGCTTCCCCTTTGAGAAGGGAAGGCAAGTGGTTTGCACAATTTCCAGCTGAAGCACATCCTTCTTTTCATTTCAGCCTGCCCCCTCTGTCCTGGGGTCTGTGTCCTACATGTTGATGGTTGCTGCATAAATAGGCTCTCCCAGCTAAGGGGGCGGGGGGAGGGGAAGGGCTGCAGGATCCAGGCAAACCATCAGCCTCTGCTGATGCATTTGCAAGATTAGGTGGGCTGGGATTTGTTGAAACATGTGGAGTGTACATTTTTAACAAAATGAATCTGAATGCAATTTTTACCCAACTCAAGAAGTGATTAAGTCAGTGAAAGCCCAGATTCAAAGCTAATCTTAAGTAGATACCTAAGTGGCCACTGTGATTTCTAACTCTGATGTCAGAACATCCCCTTGCAGAACCAGATTTTGACAGTCTATTGGCAAGACCTGCCAAGTCTAGCTGCGGGATTTCCTAAAATTAAACAGATCAGGGATGGAGGTGACGAGGGTCTGACTTTCTAGGAGCAGGGGGATGGGCCTCGCCAGGTCACCTTTAGATTGACAGCTCAGTCTGATCTGCACAAGCCTCAGGTAACACAGCCCGTATTTCCTCATCAGGCCTGCTGGAGATTTCCACCGTGGAGCGAGGTGTTGTGAGTCTCTTCGGAGTGAAAAGCGCCCTCTTCGTTGCTATGAACAGTAAAGGAAGATTATACACAACGGTGAGTTCATCCGGCCAGGGGAAGCTCTAGGTTGTACAAGGCCTAAAACTGACTCCACTGAGGAAAATAATACAAACTCGGGAGTATGGAGATGAATATTTCTCTAGAATGAGAACAGAGGGGGCTGTGGGAGGAGGCTGTGCATGTGGGGGGTCTTGAAACTCAGGCTTCGGAAGCTTCACCCCGGTCTCTGCATTGGACCATGATCCTCCTGGTCCTGCCTCCCAGCGCTTTGTAATTCCAGGGACCCGCAGCTCAGAGGGCTGCTGGCCTGAGGAAAAGCTGCACTCTGGCCTACGGCCACCCTCTGGGCTATGGCAGGTTTGATCCCCTGAACTGGAGAGGCCACAGAAGCAAGTGTCCAGTGTGCAGTTCTCCATGACCCGCCATCGGAGAGGCGCCTCCAGCCCCAGTGCAACAGGAGGAGGGGAAACAGAGACGCTCTCCTCGCCTTCATCAGTATGGGGACCTTTTCATGTAGGTTTTAAGTCCAACCCCTGACCCCAGAGCCTGGAGAAGCATCGGCCCTATTATAACCCCTTGGCTGATTCCAAAATACAGGCTGGGAATGTATCCCTATGATGTTGAAGAAACCAAGAGTTCTTTCGACAGAAATAAGAGGGCTAAAAAGAAAGGGCTCTGAGCAATGGTCAAGGAATACCAGAGTTATTTATGGGAAGGGCGTGGAGGGCTGCTCTACCTCTCCTTGGAGACAGACTGAGGATCAGGAAGTAGACAGAGTGATCTGGGATTGGTGCCGGCTTCTGGGGAGACTATTCCAACAGCTCAGGTCTGTTAAATACCTGAATGGGGTGCCCACGTGGCCTCTGCCCTTGAACACCTCTCCGTCTGAGCTGGTTTTCATGGAGAGGGGCATGGATTAAATTCCGTGGGTCTCTGAAATAAGACAAGTAACAGAGGGGCAGTGGGGCAGGAGCTAGAACGCGGGTTCCAGTCTGTACACCAAATGCACGTCTGCTGTGGGCCTTACCTGCCTTACCTGCCAGGCCCTGAGGCAGATCCCCACAGCATGATTGACATAAGACCTTGGAGACCTGGGGTCTTAACTATAAAGTGAGGATGGAGATCAAACCGCTTCCCAGGAGTGCTGGGGGGATAATGCTCAGAAAGCCCTCCACAGGGCACCCTGCAAACACCTCTCTTTCCTACACATGAGACATGTGGGAGCACCGTTTGCATTCACATCACCTTGAGAGCTTGTTAAAGGTACAGATTTCCAGGGACCTTTCTCAGAGATGCTTATCCAGGAAAGCTGGGCTGGGGCCTGGAAATCAGCTTGTCTGTTTTTGCTTTTTAAGTTTCTCTGGTGTTTCTGAGGCCCAGGCAGGCTTGGGAACCACCAGGCTACAGAGCCTCTGCCCTGCCTGAGGGTGACCCCAATCCTGAGAGCCGGAGGGCTGGGGAGATGAAAGCATGGAATTCTCAGACACCTTTTACACCTCGACACCACACCGGTGATGGAGGGGACAGGATGCAGCCAGGACCAACCCAGGTTTTAGCCATGTGCCTAAGCATTAGGGCCAGGGATGTCCACAGAGTAGGACCCCTCTGAGGCGTGCGTCATCCCTCAGAGCCCCTCGCAGCCTGCATGATGCCTGGAGCCCACTGGTTGAGAGCCACAATGCGGGTGTGAGCTAGGCCCACTGGTGGTCCATGACATCCGAAAGGTTGGAGACTTCTGAGCTCGGGGACCCTATGCAAGGGCTCCTAGGCAGGGAAATCTGGAAGGAAGCATTCAGTACAGCAACCCTTACTCTCGCCACCTTTGTTAACAAGCTATTCAATATATCTCCTTGCCCAGAAAGAAATTCACCTGGGAGGTGGGAAAGGGCACAAATATGGAGGATCTTTATCCACTCCCCACTTTCTTTAAGTCCATAGTCCCGGGAGGAGAAGCCAAGGAGGCTGGGAATACAAGATTCAACAATCAGGGACATGCTGCACAGCGTACAGCCTTCAGAGTAACCACAGGAAGGGGGAGCCATCGCTTGAAGGGTAGATTGACTGCTAGTGCCGGGGACACCCCTGGCCCTCGTGCTTAGGCACATGACTTTTAAGGGGACAAGCAGGGCTCATTAAATGACCAGGGGTTAGGAAGGAGGGGAGAAGATCGCCCGATTGCCACACCCCCCACACTCGCTCCCCAGGAGCACTAGGCCCAGAAGCACCTTCTCTAAGTGGCGAGAGTCTCCTCCCGGATGGAGCCCAGGGCCAGGCAGGAGTGGGGCTGGACAGGGGAGTGTAGAGCTGAGCCTGGAGTCGCTGCCCTGCCCCGCAGGGCTGGTTATCACAGTCTGAAAAAACAATTGCCAGCTGATCCGGGAGCCAGGAAGACTCCTGCTGGGCGATGATTTCATTCACACTATTTCCCTTTAAGCCCCCAGAGCTGCCTCATCCCGAGTTGGCTCAGCTGCTCCTGCCGCTAAATGGGACTTCTCCTGGAGGGAGGGAACCGTGCTGGGCAGGGGACAGGGGACAGGGGACAGGGGACAGCCCTTGGGGGGAGAATACGTGTCATGAAAGCCCTCATGAGGAAAAGTAGCCTCCCACTTGTCTCACTTGCAGAAAAGAGGACTGCAGAGCCTGTCCCTCCTCGGACAATACAGATAGCCACCCCGTTTTAAGCACCTACTGTTTGCAGGGTGCCCTGCAGAGGGCTTTCTGAGCATTATCCCCCAGCAGCCCTGCACCCCACCTCCCTCCCCCCCAAGGCAGGTTTGACCCTCACTTTATAGTTAAGACCCCAGATCTCCAAGGAACTGTGTCCATCATGGCTGTGGAGGTCCATAGCGGAAGTGCATGTGATGTACAGACAAGGACCCGTGTCAAATGAGGCAGAAATCAGTGAATCCCAATCTCCTCTTTAAAATAATAATAATAAAAAAAAATCAAGGCTCTCCACTGGACAGTGGTTCTGTTAGAATCCTTTGGCGGAAAAAAAAAAAAATGCCATCTATGAAACAACATCCAGCTTAAAAAAAAATCTTAAGAAGAGTTTATTTGAGCCAAACTGAGGACAATTGCCAGGAAGCAAAATCTCGACACACTGAGAAAATTGTCCACAGAGTGGCAGTTTTGCAGCTTATTTTATACATAGGAATCAAAGGAGGAGACGTAAGGATGTGTTGGTGGTAGAGTTGGGAGGTGGGAGAAAAGAAAATGGGGAAATCTCTGGGACTGGATAAAAGGTAAAACAGAGAGACACTTCGTTTACATTGGGATGTATAGAATGGTTAATGTTTACAGCATGTAGAGATGGTATTTGGGGCACAAGATAACAATGGGGGGTTTCTGTGGTCTCTGCCCTGTTGCCTGTAGTTGTGCCCTGAGAGGTCTGGAAAAGGGGATTAGTCTGACGCTCCAAAGGTATGTTATCAGAGAAGCAAAAAGACCATCGACAGGCTCCGTTAAGGTAAAGGCTGACCTTTGTCAGGGAAGCTACAGGCCTCAGATGGGCCTACCTGCCGTGACGAGCTTTTTGTTAGGAAGTTTTCATTTCAGACCATCCTAGTCTCTGAGCTTGCAGGGCCCACCATGCAGGCCTCCCCTGAGCTTGTCAGGTCTAGTATGTAGCCCCTTTTTCATCCACAATACACGGCAGCAAAACGGTACTAGAAATTCAGTTATGCTTTTAAATGATTTTAGCTTTACAAATTATAACTGTGCCTACATCTTTTATATCAATAGTAGTGTGACAATGTGCAGAACACACTACTTGCTTCATCCCAAGAGGCCTTTGAGAATTCCCTGGGGGTAATTCAGGAGGCCCACGCCTTTCCCTCTGTCCATGCTCAGTTTGCCGCTCCTCTCATCTAGCGTGTGCGAGGTCTGGGCGCGGGGGAGGCCGTGCTGCAGTGAGGCCAGAGCGCCCCGCAGAGCAGAGAAGTCTCAGAACGCGTGGCCTGCTGCAAAGAGCTACAGGAATGAGAAGAATGATGTGCCTGGTGAAAACATTTTCTAACACTTCTAAATTGTCAATGCAGTTGTGTGTTAGGAATGAGGGTTAGCGAATACAGTACAGACCTCTCTTCAGAGCCGGGAGGTGCTATGACTTCTTTGCAGCTGAGGACAGGGAAAGAAGCAGTCAGTGGCCGCAGGAGGAAAGGGTCTCAGGACAAAGTGTTTTCTTTTTCGTTTCTACCGCCCACTCCGTAACCCACCCGCCCCCACCTCCACACACGCACGCACAACCAGGAGAAATAGGGACAAGCGCCAAAGGCAGCCGAAGGAGGAAAAACTTTAAAGACAAGAATCCACTCCCATCAGCCTGGGTGACTGGACTCTGCATAAAGGCAGGAGATGGCTGTCTGGTCCACCCAGACTTCAAGAGGCATTTCTGCCTGCGGTAACTCCTGCAGAAACACCCACACATCTACCCTCTGCAGAGGCCTTCTCCAGAGTGAGTGTCGGTGCTTGATCTGGTTCCACAGAAGTCTGATGAGACCTATATGGAATTTAAGACATTGTCACACTGGGGCTTGAGGCCCAGAAGGCCCAGGAAATGTGATCCGCTGGAATTATTTTCATTTGTTCTCAAGGAATAATATGTTGTAGCTGCTTTTATTATCAAGGTGTTCACTGGGCCGAGTGCATTTCACACCAGAGCTGAGGAGCCAATCTTCCTGAGCCACGAGAACTCAGAGGTCAGGGAAATGGTGGAGATGAATTAGGGGCTGGGTCGTGATACCACGTTGAGCACCAATCTTCAGGAAAATCCCAAGGGCCTGAAGCATTGGCTGCACCAAAGAGTTTGGGAAGTTGTCTTGGCATCTTGCTGCACGTCTATAGCCACCTGAACTAGAGCATGGGGGGTGGGGGTGTGCTTAAAAGAACAGGCCAGGGGAAGGTAGAGAGGGCTTCTAAAGCAGACTCCATCTATTTCTCTTTTTTCTCTTTAGATTTGTACAGAATTCTGAGAAAGGCTAAGAATATGAGATAAGCTAGATAAAAGGGACAGAATGGGGGGAAAAAAAAACCAAGTCAGAAGCTTCTTTAAAAGGGAGGGGGAACTTGAATAATCAAAATCTGATGAACAGAGGACAAAACTTGATGTATAAAGCATCATTGTCCACTTGTAAACAAATATGTTTTAGGAGACCCAGGCACTAAGGAAAGGCTGAGTTCTTAAATTGGACACATTCTAGAACAGAGGATATGAGCAAAGGCCTTCATAGCTTCTTGCCAGAATGGCTCAATTTCTTCCCTTCCCCTTCTCTTCCCCCTCCCTCTACCCCAGGATTTGATTCCATCTCTGGAGTTTGCAAACCACATATGCAACCTCTCTCCTAACCACCATCCCCGTCAGAAATGAATTCTCCTGGAAATCATCGGGGCGGTTACTCTCCAGGGATGTATAAAATTAGAAGGGAGGGGAAAGTGGTGGGTGGAGACTGGGCTGTGATGGGAGGAGGAGGAGACCACCGGGTTCTGATACCAATGTTTTCTTCGTTTCCTGGCCCATCTTCTATCCTGAGTTCCTTTTCCATTTTAAGTAACCTACTTATATGACTAGGTAATACATGAACATGGCCTAAGGGGGAGAACAAGTACAAAAGAATATGGCATGGGAAGTAAGCCTCACTCTCACTGTTGTCCTAAAGCCACCCACTTCCTCCCAGATTCAGCCGCCCTTACCAGTTTCTTGAATACCATCCCAGGAAGCACCTGTGTCCCTGCGCATGCACACAGGATCTTTTTTTAAAATCACACAAACAGGAGTATGGTACACACACTGTTTGAAGCTTATTTCTTCACTTAACAGTATATCTTTGAGACCATTTCAAGTCAGTGCACAAAGAGGTTTCTTATTTTCTCACTAGAGGCCCAGTGCATGAAATTCATGCATGGTGGGGGGGCGCTTCCCTCAGCCCAGCCTGTACCCTCTCCAATCCAGTACCCCTTGGGGGATGTCCGACTGCCGGTTTAGGCCCGATCCCAGGGACAGTCGGACATCCCTCTCACAATCCTGGACTGCTGGCTCCTAATTGCTCCTGCCTGCCTGGCCACCCCTTACTGCCCTGCCTGCTGGCCTGGTTGCCCCCAAATGCACCCCCCACCACCAGTCTGGTTGCCCCTAACTGCCCCCCCTGCCAGCCTGGTCACCTGCAACTGGCCCCCTCTGCTGGCCTGGTTGCCCCTAACTGCACCCCCCTTGCTGGCCTGGTCGCCCCACACAGCCTGCTGTTCAGTCATTTGGTCATCCCTCACTAACCCCCTGCCAGCCTGGTCACCCCATGCAGCCTGCTTGTTCAATCATTTGGTTGCCCCTAACTAATCCCCCTGCCAGCCTGGTTGTAGGCAGCCATCTTGTGAGGGTGTGAGGGTCAATTTGCATATTACCTCTTTATTATATAGGATGGCTTATAGTGTTCCACTGTGTGGACTTGCCGTAATTGAGTTCACCACTCCTCCTAATAGACACATAGGCTAATGTCGGGCTTTCACTACTGTAAACAACTTTACAGTCACTTTTGTACATGTGGGAGCCTGTAACAGTAAGGCAAATTTCTAGGAGCAGAATTACTCATCAAAGCCGTAACAATTTTTTATTCTAATAAACACTGTCAAATTGCTCTTTATAAAGTATATAACAATTTACACATCAACGGACATTAAATGAGAAATCCTAGTTTCTGTGTCCTCACCAGTGAAAGTATATTATCAAATATTGTTCTCTTTGTAATCTGACAGTTAAAAATGGGACCTCACATTTTATGTCATTTACATTTCTCTTATTAAGCATATTTTCTTATGTGGTTTTTTTGTTTGTTGTTGTTATTAATCTTCACCGGAGGATATTTTTTCCATTGCTTCTTAGAGAGAGTGGGGGCAGGGGGAGAGACAGAGAAAAACATCCATCAATTGGTTGCCTCATGCACACACCCCAACCAAGGTACATGCCCCTGACTGGAATCAAACCCTGGACCCTTCAGTCCGAAGGCTGACACTTTATCCACTGAGCCAAACTAGCTAGGGCATATTTTCTTATGTTTAAGTGTTATTTGTATTTCCCTTTCTGTGAATTGTCTGTTCATTAACATCCATTTTTCAGTGAGTTAAGGATTCTGAATATAGTAACAAAATGTCCTCTTTGCAATTTATTGCAAACTGCACTACAAAATAAAATGCATTGAAAATATTTTTTATCCAGTATATTACTTATAGTTTTATTTTGTTTTAAGGTCTTTAAATTTTTTTCCAGACAGTCAAATTTATTTATTTATTTGTTTGTTTGTTTGTTTATTTATTTATTTATTATGGCTTTTAGTTTTTTTGTGTCCTGCTTAGAAAGATTTTTCTGACTTAAAAAAATTTTTTTTATCTTTAAGTTTCTCTTTTTTGCAATGAACTCTCTGCTCCTTTTAAAATTTATTTTAATATAAGAATGAAGGCATACATCAAATTCATTGTTATTGTTATTATTGTTCTTACCAACACAATTTTCTCATTGATTTGAAACACACTTCTATTTCTAGATACACTTTGATTTTATATTCACTTCAGGTCCATTTTTATTTTATATTCACGTATCTTTGGGTTTACTTCTTGACTTTCTATTTGGTTCATTTGTCTGCACCAGACTTTTATTGTGGCACCAGACAATTATTTTTTACTTTTTATGTGCCAGGCATTATACCAAGGACTTTTTATGCATTATCTCAATTAATAATTACTCCAATTCTATGACATAATTATTCTTACTGCTCCCACTCTACAGATGAGGAAACTGGGGCTTAGGACGTTAATTTGCCCAAGTCCACACAGCTAAGTATGAGGCGAAGCATCATCACTCTAACCAGGGGTGGGCAAACTTTTTGACTCGAGGGCCACAATGGGTTCTTAAACTGGACCGGAGGGCCGGAAAAAAAGCATGGATGGAGTATTTGTGTGAACTAATATAAATTCAAAGTAAACATCATTACATAAAAGGATTAGGTCTTTTTTTTTTTTAGTTTTATTCATTTCAAACGGGCCGGATCCGGCCCGTGGGCCGTGGTTTGCCCACCGCTGCGTCTAACCTCAAAGCTATTGCTCAAATGTGCTTTTTACCCACTTGCATTTGTTTATTCTCCCCGCCTTTGGGATAATCCTTCCTTCACACATACCACAAGTATTTACTGAGCACCCATAGGAGAGAAAGGAAAGCTTGTGGCAACTCCCTAGATGGTATCAAGGAGCCATTTGATGGTGGCTGATGAGAGTTTTCACATTTGTCTCAAAGAAGTAAACAAGGGGCGTGAGAGGCAAAGAGCAAGGGCAGGAGGGGAGTACGCAGTGTGTTCCCAAAGACCACACCTCCCCCCTGCTCACTCCCACCCTGCATCGATACAGCCACCCATGTGGGGGTATCTATACATTTCAGTGTTGTCCCTAATAAGTCATCATTCATTCAGCATCATGTACTCAACAAGGCACAGTTCTTGTCTTAAGGAACTTGGAGTCTATTGGGAAAGAAAAACCCGTCCACAGGGATCACACGTTGTTTTAGATGCTGCCTGAGAGGTGAACTCGAGGGGCTGGGAGCCCTGGTGAGCGAGTGCGTCACCTTCTGTTCAAAACAGGAAGAAGCCCACTGCCAGCGGGTCAGTGAGCTCACAGTCCAATTCCTGCAGAGAAGGTCAGATGACACCTCTGGTGCGGTCAGCCATCGAGTGGGTCATTTTATAGCTGATGGCCTCAGTCAGGAGGAAGGAATCAAAAATGATACTCCACCTATTTCTCTGTTTCATCCTTTTTTTTAAAGACTACATCCCAGGTCTCCTGGCTCCCAGCTCGCTCTCTTCCTCTAGACCCCAAGGAGCTGCTCCTCATCAAAAGCACAGAACCCTCCCAGCTCCCCTCAGGACAGGGACCCGGCGCCCCAAGGGAGCAAAGGGCTCTCTTTTCTAGGAATAAAGGAGGACGTGGGCTGTTTCCTGTGGGTGCGTGACAGGAAGTCCAGCACTCACTTCTGAGCGGGCGGTTCACATACCGTCCTCTACCAGATCAGCGCTTTATCACTGGCCCAGACCCCATGGCACCGCTGTCACACAGGCAGCCAGCTTCCTTTCCCCACAAAAACCACTGCTCCCCACCTTCTCTATTCCTGCACTTCCCTGGAGAACTACGAGTGTCCAGGGAGGCACAGGGCATCTTTGGGTTCAAAGTCAAAATGCCTCTTTAAGGAATTGCAAACTTGGGACTTAAACTAGGAAAGGCAGTGAGGAAACACAAGTGGAGTGAGTGAGTGAGTTACTATGATCAACAGACAGCATGAGAAAGGACTTAGGAATCATGTGTCTTGACCTTTCTCCAAGCGCCCCTTCCTCACCACCACGGCCACCACCACACAGTTGCAGAAAAGGGAACCGAGGCTGAGAGAGGAGCAGCCTGCTGGGGCACACAGCCAGGGAGTGGAGAAGCCACTAACCAGAACCCCAAATCTTTCTCTCAGTCCTGCTCCACTAGACTACCTCTCGCAGTGGACTGGAGAAAACAGCCCGTTACATCCCTTTCTGGTCCTTTCTCTGAGCGGGATAAATGATCATAGGTGCTTAGTAGAAAGTGCCCCGAACTGGAAATCAGGAGACTCACCCCCTGTGCCACAGACTGTCCACCTACGTCCCTGGGCCTTGGTTTCCTCCTTGCAAAGGAGGGAAGGTGCGAGGGGACCATGAGAGTTCTGAGGTCGCTTTCTGTTCCAACCTTTCATGATTCTGTTCACCCGGAGTGCCTTGCATCTCAAGTGGCTGTTCTACAAAGCAGGGCGGGGGGGGGGGGGGGGGGTGGCAGTGGGTCGGCTGGGCCTCACGTGTAATTGGCCTGTTGTTTGCCCCTTCTTTCACAGACCAGCTTCCAAGAGGAATGCAAGTTCAGAGAAACCCTCCTGCCCAACAATTACAACGCCTATGAGTCAGACCTGTACCGAGGGACCTACATCGCACTGAGCAAACATGGACGGGTAAAGCGGGGCAGCAAGGTGTCCCCAATCATGACCGTCACTCACTTCCTTCCCAGGATATAAGGACCCTGAAAGAAGGTGCAAGGTGGAAAGTGACATTTTTTCTACTGGAATTTTGCACAGTGAACACTTTCCCTTACCCCCATGCCTCCTGAGTCAGGTTTCTCTAATACTGGGGGAGGCCCGAGTTGGTTCCCTCGGCCACCAGACCCCAGGACATGTAACCCACCCAGGTGAGGGGTTGCAGCCAGCTTTGTAGAATGGCAGCAGAGCCCATGCTCTGACCTCACCTGAGGAAAGAAGGTGCAGATGACACTTGTGGAATGTGACCTTGTGCCCAGGAGAGGCCAGCGAGGAAACATGTGTGTGCTGGTGTGTATCCATACATCTCTGTCTATGTTGTCAGAGCAAAGGCATTTCAGAGCATCGGGTTTCTTCCCTCCAGATCACTGTGGCAGGCATCTGCCTGCAAGAGTGTCACTTGTCAAACCACCAGGATTGATGCGTGCTCCCACTCTGCCTCTTTCCAATCACCTTTGCGTCCAGAGGCCCCTGGCTGCACAGCAGAGAGGCAGGGTGAGCAGGAGTAAGGTTTGACTGCAAACCAGAAGGAAAGTGGGCAGGCACTCTGATCGTCCTGCTCAGGAGGACTGTGGGGACACAGACGCATTGTTGGGGCAGCTGGGGGAGAAGGGGTCCCCTTCTCAGAGGACAGCAGTTTCCCGGGTGGTTGGGGAAGGCCTGCTGGAGGCAGCAGAGGGACTGGATGTTCCATGGAGAGCCATTCTGCTGGAGGACTCAGTGCTGTGTGGCTCCGAGATCAAGTGGGGCCAGGCTGCCTGCCCATAACTTTTCCTCACTGTGAACCAGGTCTTATTTTAACCTCAGATGACAAGGATCCTAATAATGGCAACCTCTTTGGCAAGGGGTGAGGGGGAGCAAAATAGAGCATGAAGGAAGTAGAGAAGCTCTGGACTCCAGATGATAATTCCTCTCCAGCTCCGTCCAGGAAACTCACCCAAGTTCTCATCCGATACCTGCACTTCCTTCTTGGTCGTCCTCGTCTCACATACACGCCTGTGCCTGGATGCGGGAGAATGGGCACCGTGGCGTCTGGGGTTTGCCCCCTCTGGCCCCCTACAGTGGAAGAGTGTTAATCCTGTAAACTCAAGCAGCCAAGCTGAGGCAGCTCCTTGCTGCTTGATGGCTTCTTGCCTCCTGCCCTTTGAGAGTATTTAAAGCAGAGGTTCCCCCGAGCGACTATAAATGTTGTCTTCCCGGAGCTTTCAGATTCCTGAGCCATCGGACCGTTCCTAAATCTGAAACCAGAGAGAGCCATGTCAGAATGCAAATATTTTTGGCATATGTGAACCACAAGTTACACGATGACCTGACACCCTCCGCTACTCCCAGGGGCCCCTGCCTGCAAGACAGCCCCCCATCTGCTGCCGTGCCTCATCCCTGGCGTGCCGCACTAGTGCAGATGTGCCATCTATACATAGGCCTGACCTGAACGACTGTGAGTCCAAGACGGCCATTGGCAATCCAAGGGAGAGATGCCATACTGGCCGCCTCCTCTGCCCAGCAAACAGCAGGAGCACATGTGCTGGGTGAGGAGGAAAAGTCCACCCCCAGGTGAGCAGACAGTAAGAGCTGAGGACCAAGAAAAGCATGGCCATGCCTGGGATAGAAACTGGAGGGGGCTGAGGTCCTGGATCAAGCAGAAGAGAGAAAAGCGGTCCATCGTGACTGGAATATTTGAAGTGCAGGCCTGCTAGGAGGCAGGGGATGAAGCTGATTGTTTTCTAGGAGGCGGTCCAGAGCAATCTGTCTCTATAACAAGGTTCGTCAGAAACCGGTGCTCTCAGAACCCGAGGCACGTATCCGTTCCGATGGAAGGCGGTGGGAGTGCGGGAAGGCTGGGTGGATGGATGGAGGAGGAACAAGTTTTAGGTCCCAAAGCATTAGTTCCTTCCTGCCTAGCTCTTTGAGCTAAGGTGGCGTGAGAGGGGTTGCAGGCTGCCAGGCCTTTCCTGCATCTCTCTAGAGCAGCGGTTCTCAACCTGTGGGTCGCGATCCCTTTGGCGGTTGAACGACCCTTTCACAGGGGTCGCCTAAGACCATCCTGCATATCAGATATTTACATTACGATTCATAACAGTAGCAACATTACAGTTATGAAGTAGCAACGAAAATAATTCTATGGTTGGGTCACAACATAAGGAACTGTATTTAAAGGGCCAGAAGGTTGAGAACTGCTGGTCTAGAGGCTCATAAAAGCACTCAAATCCCGACAAGGAGTTTCCCCAAATGTCTGCTCCCATTTGTCATGCTGGGAGTGAGAAGGAGAAGCTGTGGAACGCCCAGGACCAGGCAGGCGATATTCGGCCACCACACAGCGGCCCCAGCGTGCCGGCTGTGACTAGAATCAGTTCTGAGCAGCTGGGCGTCTGTTCTAATCGGTGCCAGGTCCCTGCTGTGCCAGGTGTAAGCGTTTTGTGTTACACCGCTGGGTGGAGGCACACATCCTTGACTCTGAAATCCTTCCCATCCAAAGGAAATCTCCCAAGGCTTTCTCTTTGGCCTATAGGTGACTTGGGCTTAAGAAAAATCAGTCCCCCCTCACAGAAGCAGGGTAAGGGGCAGGAACAGGGCAAAATCTGCGCAGGGCTCCTCAGTCCCTCCCTCCTGCTCGTGTCGGCGCACAGGTGTGCAGAGTCCTCACCTATCTGATCATCGTGTCTGTGAATCTGAATTCCGATGCCAGCCCCGTGGGCTCCAAGGGGCTGCAGAAAACGTTGCATAGGCAGGGGAACAAAGGTGTCCCCTCCTTCCGGCTGACAATGTCCCATGAATGATGTGGTCCTCCCTCCCCCAAACCCTGAGCTCTGAGACTGGTGTAGAGAGTTTTGTAGCTAATTGGTCTCTCTTCCACCCTGAACTTCTCTGGCAGCTCCATGCAAACTTGGGGTTCCAGCAGCCCTGAGGCCGCCTTGTTCCCTCTTCAAGAGTAAATGATAGAGAGAGCAACATACTGACCCCTTTGAAGACAGACTTCTCAGCTGGAAGAGGTTAGCTCAGACACCATGGGGAGCCCCAGGCCAGGTGAGATCTGCACCCTTCAGGGTAATGGATGGACGTCAGGGGAACCAGGAAACGCCAGCTGCCTGCTCAAGCTGTAGATTATGTTGCGTCATCACTCGCTGCCTTCTGATCCCTCTTCCCTTCCCACTGCCCAGACATTTTTGACCCACCTTTGGAAAGCAGCATATAATGATGTGATTAATACCCTGTCATTATTCTTCACAGCCTCCCCTCTGCCTCCACGTCCCACGATACCTCCAGCACACACACTCCAAGCCCCAATCGGGACCCTGATCCTATGACTTAAGAAAGAGAATATTTTCTCTTTCATCTGATGCAGGCTATACACCTCTCTCCTTTGCAGACAAGTAGGTTTCTCCTCGGGCCAATAAACCAGGCCTAACATTCTCTCCCACCCCCACCCTGCCCTGAGCGCTGGGAGTTTTCCTGCCCATGCTGGCTCAGGGCCCTGTCTTGTCCTCCACCTCAAACCCTTCAAGTTCTCACATGTGCAAGTCCTGAGGAAGAAGCAGGTGCAAAAGCCCATGAGCTGGCGTTCTCCTGCCTCCCGCGCTGGGCTTCACTGCCAATGCCACAGCCACAGGCACCGCCTCCACCACTGCTGTCGCCCTGTCCCCTCTGCCCTGTCCCCTCTGAGCCTCTCATGAGAGCGCACACTGGGAAACTCCCACCTCCCTCCCTCCCAGTGCTTTCCCCAATGGCTCTGAAGAGGTTTCCTTTGCCACTTCAGGTCTCTAACATTTGTCCCCCCTCCTCCAGCCAAGGAACCAGCCACTCATTCTGCTACCTCCCAGGAAAGCTCCCAGGGCAGGGAAGCGTGGGACAAGGCGAGAGAATAGACAGGAACACTCCTGTCTGCACCTGAGCTGGGGTTCCTCTTCCCAGGACAGGGGGGAGTGATGATACCCCAAACAGACCCCAAATCTAGTCCATCGCGCAGACAGGCCACGCAGAACATGTTGTTTACCTCACGAACCGCTGAGGCTCCAGCACTCGGGCAGCTGTGTCCCTTTCTACAAATCACTGTGGTTTTCCCTTTCTACAAATCACTACGTACCTCAGGCTGGATCCCAGCGCAAAGCGTTCTCAAGCCTGGGTCTAGCGAGTAGGAAAGCTCGGAATTTGTTCCGTCATGTGCTTGTAAAATGTGATGCTTCCATTTTGTTAATATGTATGTGCTATGCACAAACCATATCATGTTCCAGCAAAAGTGAAAGGCCTTTTTATACGTTCCTCTACACTGACGCCACCCTCCCATTAAAACTGACAGTGAATCTCCAGGCTGTGGTCGATTTTCATCTTCACTCTTTCCCACCTCTCAGGGAGGCCGCAAGGGGAATAGAAGCACATTCCTGCTGTGGGTATGAAAGAGTCACGGAGCTATGGGTTGCTAAGGCAGGAGGAAGTCACGCAGGTCACTTGGTCTGATCGTTGTGTTTGTAAAGCGGGGAGGGGAAGGAAGCTACTGTGGACCATAAAACATGGTGAGGCAGCTGCCCTTCCCTCCTGCCTTGGTCAAGGCCAGATGCCCACATGTCTGTGGCCAGCACATTCGCTCAGTCCCTTAGTGACCCACCAGGGAACATCTACTGAGCATCCTATCTCTGCTGCATGGGGCTGGATTTGGGGATATGTGAGTGCACGGGGCAAACACAGTCCCCATTCTCTTGCAAACACGTACTGAGCAAAGTCACCGAGGCATGTGTTACAGTGCAGACTTCCCAGCTGATTGCACAGATGTACAGACTCCGATGCTAGGCTCAGGAGTCTGGCTCTACAACACCCCACCTCCCAGGTAATGCTGACATTGGCCTCACAGGACGGCTGGAAGTGTAGAACATTTGAGCTAAGAGAGACTCTATAACTTATTTTAAAAAACAAACAAACAAACAAAAAAAACTATTTATAGGTTAAAAGAAGATTAGGGAGTTTCAGTTTCTTATCCAGGACCATGCAAC